CAAAGCTGAAACATTGAATAAACTTCAATTCGGTTTCTTAACATTTATTTTCAACACTTTTTAACAAAACTGAAGTAATAGCAACATTGTTTGAACTCTCTCTAATTTATTCAAAATCAAACCTGGGGTTTCTGATTATTTGTTCTTGTAACAAAGTAATCTGTCAAAGATACACCACTGACTGTCTTGGTGGCAATACGACTCTAGGAAAACACTTTCACTGCGACGATGTTATATAATCATTAATCAGGTCCGAACCTACCTACCTATATATCATTATATGCACATTTTGTGTACTTGTGACCCACATATCATCGTAATACGACAATGTAACAGTCAAATTGCTATATAATACGGTCTACTCACGGAACACATGCAACTAGACTGCAACGCACCATGAACCGCGTCTCGATTAGGTATTATGCATTATATTACGTTTAGATAACATCATTATATTTTGATATACACATAAAGCTCATCCAAAATCAAACAAATGAATTTCACGCAATATCATAGGCGCGCAAAGCAATAGCAGAAATATTTTCTCGAAACAATGGAAGAAACCATATACAAGGTGTTATGGAATGCTGCTAGGAAATTGAGAAAAAGAAAAATAAGTATAGGGACGGAAATGTCCCGTTGCATATGGGATGCTTAAACGTGTCGGTCTTTGATAGTTCACCTAACATTTCTCGGAAACAGATTAAAAGATAATCAATTTTTGCTACAGGCAGATGTCATTAACATACATGTGAATAGTTATTTTACAAACCACTCACATCAGTGGGATTTGTGTCGGCAAGTCTTAGCGAAAAATGGTACGCCATTGATTTTTACAAAAAATACTACTCATAAATTGCCTAGGTTTTTCATTGCTTTCTAAATGGAAATTTCTTAGCCAGTACAATCATCTTACTATAGTTATTAAAAAAATATCGCGCTGGTATGTGTTTATACCAACTAGAAACTCTGACACACACTTTTCAGAAGACGGCTATCTCAAAAGAAGGGTTATGTTTTTCGCGCATGGGTACGAGGAAAATTATGTCTCATGGTCTGAGGTCCAAACGACTTGATGGATTTTGACATATGAGGTGTTGGTTTCGTCTTAGTAGTGGGAAATACACTAGGTATATTAACACTTTATAAAATCTGTACCTAGATTCGTCTTGAGATGCGAGAAGCTCAGCATTTTAAAATTTTATAAATACAAAATTACGTTTTTTTAATGCAAATTTCAACTTTTAAATTTCTATTTCACGGGATACAGCTCAAATGGATGGATTTTAACATTTGATAGCACAACTAAAGCTTTATTCTTTTTAGTTACTGTGGAGAAGGTAATTGTCTCTGCATAAATCAGTGTGTGTACAATTTTAATTTTTCGCTAACCATAAAGACTAAACATCCCGCATCACATAAACGTAGAATTTTCAGACCCACGCTTAAATTTTCCGTACGATAGATAGACTGAAACAGGTGACATGTATTTTCGTACTTCCTAATATCGTATGTTAAACATCTGAAGAATATCTTTAACCCATTTACATTGTTACATGATGTTTGACGTTACTAGGTTTGATTAAAATGTACGCTAATAAAGTAGTCCAAAGCTCGAGATAATCAGCGACTCTACGATATGACTAATCACTTAAAAATCATGTTTGGCAGATGCCAAATGACGACTAACAATATTTATGCCATTCGGCATTATGATACTCAAAATTTCATATGAGTCCTCCAGCACACCTCGTGAGTAGGCCACAGATACATATGTCAAGTAGATTCCTATTATATGTACCTGAGTAAGTTTGGTAACACCAAATATGCTGTTATATAATCATTAAAACAAGGAAATGTTGAAACGGTACTTGCTGCGCGTCGTATAGATATGTACAATGTTTACCTATACTACTGTTTGAGAAATATTGCTTATGAATAAGTTATTACGATAATTATGTAGCCACCACCCGCATTGACTTGTATTTTTGACAACAAATGATTGAGAGAAGCTAAACCTACGTTTTTGTAATGTAAAGGCATTTGTATGAATCTGAGTAGTAGTATCCACATACTACTCCTAATTTAAATTCTCTTAAGTCGACAGTGAAACATCTTTGTGGTATTGCAGGAAAATGATATCAATTTAAGCAACTTTGTCCAAGACTCCTTTTTGCGATCCTCAAAAAGCCTTTTTGAATTTCAAGATGCAGGACATTAATCTTTTCATATATTACTTTGTTATCATATTGCATATCTGAAATCCTGTATGCTTACTTTTTTGCGCATAACTCATTGTACCATTTAACAATGCATCTTGCAACACCTTCTTATGTAATATTGCGATGTATCCATTGAGATGTATCCGATTAGATTTTACTATACTAGAATATTATCCAAACTAGTGGGCTACAATTTCGAGCTGGAAAACAGTTGCCGTTCGCGTGTGGACGTAACGTAACACAATAATTATCTCGCTGTTTGCTGAATTGACCTAAGTAATGGGCTATCTTCATACATCTTTCATTTAGGTCACCTACATACGCTGATTTACTGACAGAGGAGGTGTAGCTGTGTTGCTAACCGTTTGGGTTGTTGTCGGTATAGAGTGCCCCAGAAAATATTCAGTTCACTGATTAGGTGTAATTTACAATGCAAAAGAGATTTCCCTTTTCAAACATGAAGTAAGTTAAAGACCCTATTATCTAGTCTAGTCAATAGCGACAACTCATCGGTCAATAATTTTGTATGGATGAAAGTAGCCTAGTGGCGAGGATGTATTGTAATCGCAATATATTTCGAAAATTAGATATGTTTTCTGGATGTTATATGACATATATCTGCCGATCTATCGGTTTGTCTCTCTGCCCGCTAATCCTTGGCCCGACTATAATTTGGAAAGCACCATTCGGATTTTGATGAATTTGATACCTTATTGCCGCGTCTGACGCGTTATGCCGTCAGGTAGCAGGGAGAGGCAACGTTGCCAAATACCGGTGGGGCATGCACTAGTTGTGTGGGTCTGTTTAATTAACTTGATCCGTTTAATTTTTTCATAGGGTTTGACCTGTGCTGAACATAATACTGTATGAAATGATGGCGGCGTTGCGCGAGAAGTGCAGAGTGAACACACCTGAGCTATTTTTTTCTAACTAAATCAAGGAACCTCAAAAATACTGGAATCGACCATTTCAAAAACCGCTTGTGTCCTGTTTTTTCCAACATTCCAACAATTATTTGCTAAAAATGCTTTCTTTAAAGATAAATGCGTATCCTGTATATACACCATACATCACGGAAGTCAATACAATCAGTCCTTTTCAAATAACACTGCGTAATGAACGTTCATTAAATAAACCACCACATAAGACAGTGACTTTTGCATGTCTACACCATGGATAGCCAACGTGTGGCTTGGATATTCACGGTGTAAACATGTCCACTGATTGATATGATTGTTTTGCTCACACTAAACCTGTTTCTTACTAAAACAACGTAAGTCATTAAAGGTTTTTATTTTTTTCATGATTATTATTGATAAACTGTTACTTTTCGTGAATAAATCCGTTTTTATTGATTCCCCAAAAAACTCAAATTATGTGACTGATGAGGTTTTTGAAATGATTGATTTAGTTCCCCCGTTAGAGTAAGGGTACCCTTCTGTTCTACTAGTTAAATCAACTGATTATGGAGTTTGCTACAGTGTGATCAACTCAATGATGCAGCCTCTTTCAAAACTTAATAGGCAGACTTGTTATGCTACTTGTACCATACCAATTGTACTTTATATGTAGGTACAACGCAAAGCGGCTTGTTTTTCTATTCCTTTGTTTCTACAGGGTGTCAAAGATGTAAAACATTTAGATGGTTTTTAGTATGGTATGTTTGCTTCGTGGAGTGAACAGAAGCTAGGTTTTTGTTAAAGTGCATGCATGAAGGCTATGGCATTCCTAGTTACCTTGAACATTTCAGTGGAGCCACTGGAAAGCAGGTCTCCAAATCCTCAGAAGCGATTAATTCCTGGAATGATGGGGGGAGAATAACTAAGAGTGGGCCTGGTTTTCATACGTTTCGGGAAGTCGTATTCCTGAACACTGAATAGTAGCATCCCGTGTCGTTTCCGGAGGAAAAGTGTGTGAGTTTTCCTCACTTTTTCTCAGTGATTATGCTCTCTAGTTTTCAGGAACAGGAGTCTATGCTCAATTCTTCTAAAATTTATTTGTAGTTGTTGCGATAGGTCTTTCGAGTTGATTTCGTGACTGTTATAGAAAATACACATAAGTTAAAATGATATTTCGAATGAAGTAAATTTTGAGGGGGCGCGAGTGGGGCGTCTCTTTCTAGGCTCCCAGATCTCAAGAAAACGGTATATCATCTTGCTAGGCGTGAATCGTGAGACGTGCCCTCTGCTCTTCAGCTGTCATGGTCAAGGGCATTTTATCTTAGAAGTGATGACCTGAGTATGCAACTTCACTATCGAACTTCATGACTCCAAATATCTCAGCCGTTCTGAAATATACGGGGTAAGACTTAAAAAAGTGCAACTCTGCCTTGTCCTCCTCTCAGCACATGTATCAGATAGGATCTCTTTTCATCTTTAGAAGGTTATCCTTTCTGGACTGTAGTGACTGTTGTACGGTGATCCGTATCGTGGCGCACTACTTGGCCTGCCTGCAGTCCATATTCCGAATATAACTTGTGTTGGGTTCATGTTGGGGCCTACATGATCATGTATCCCCAGCAGTGTGGGGATATTTCTATGTCTTCTCTGTCCCAAAAGCATTTGGCTGAAAACCGATAGTGATCTTGAGTCCTAATTTACACTTTGACCATGTTAGTCTCTTGAATGTTGAAGGATAATGCAATGTAACTATGTCGACTTCAGGTTTCTATATTACATCTATAATTCAATACGAAGATGGACAAACCTGAACTGATATGTTTCACTCAATTCATGGATATGTTGCCTATAATGTTTGTTAAAAACGTAATTTTTCCAGCCGAATACATCCTCCCCTGCTACAAATCCGACCCCGAAATCAACAAATGTCTACGGAATACTTTCAACCATTTAAGGCCTTATCTGAAAACCGGCATCAGTGATATAGAAGTACCTAGCATCGATCCTCTAAAAATCAACACACTGATTATGGAAAATGGAAGAGGGCCTCTCAGGGTGAAAGCTTCCTTCTACAACATCACCACTACTGGGGCCAGCAATTATTCTATCGGACAAATAAAGTAAGTTATTCGTAATGAAATAAACATACCATATACTAGAAAACGGTTTAAGGCTGAAGTTCATCCGTTCATACACTGAGGCCGAAAATAGTGTGTTATTCGCTTGTATGCCTATAGGATATAAAAAATTATATAGAAAATGTCATACGATGCTCCTTCACGATGATTCAAGTCCCTAAATGTCGCTACCATAAAGCACTGTATAAGACCACGAGGCAGCTTTGTATCCAGTTGGAAACGCACATGATGGTACTCTTAGATAAAATTTAGATCGCCAGGAACAGACTGGCCCCCTAACGGAATCATGCTGATATTCTGTTCTTGATAAAAATGCTAGTGTTTCAGTACAGAGTCAACCTTCGCACTGGATCTAGTATACGGGTTACTCCATTCTGGGAAAATAGTATCTCTTGTAATCATCGATCAGAAAGACCCCGGGATATATCGTCGGTTTCCGCAAGTACAGGCGTAAATGACAAAAAAAATCTAAAATCGAGTTACGCCGTAATTTCACATATATTTTGTAGTCTCTCACCTCACGATATGACGTAGCTTTATATCAGTTCGCTGCTCAGAAATAAAATTCTTGAAAAATTGCGTAAGTGATAAAATTCCGAAAACAATGTTCACGAACCGGCTTTAATAGATTTACACCTCTGCGTTAAAACTGGTTCTACATAATTTTAGTCTAACAAAAAAACAGCAACGTGCAGACTAAAAAAACAGTATGTCACTTTCAATCTTATTTATTGCTGATTTTCGTTTTCTAGCTCTCCTGTAAAATTTGTAAGATGTTAGTTACGCCGGTACGTGCGGAGACCGACGATATCTACATTTTCATATCACTTAATCAAGTTTCAGATTTTAGTCTGACTTTTTGGGGAACCTCTTTAGTGTAAGTAAATAGGAACTGTATTGAAACAAGAATGTATATTTCAGAAACGACTATTTTTTCAAAATTTAACAGTAGATTATCTTCATCTAAAGAATTCACCTTCCTGAAAATTTTATTTTCTAGCCATATATACAACACGATGTAAAAACAATATAGGCATTATTGCGTTACGACCGGATCTATTTAAATGAGTGAATTGTTTTTTGCAAATATGGTCAAGTGAGACTTCAACTGGTTTCCAGGCTCTCCAAATTTGGTTGGAATATGCAATGTTCTTCATAAGCTATTGCATGTAAACTGATTCCGAATAGCGTCCTTTTGGTGTCTGCATTTTCGTAGGAAAACCACGTAGGACATTTTCTATAAGAACTTAGCATTATTGAATTTTATTCATACTAGAAATGTGCATGCTTTTCTGTGCATAGTGGGTCTTTCTGTAGTCATTCTAGATCTAAGTTCTAGAACATCGTATCTGCTATATTGTGCCCTCCGCAGCTGTAGCTGGCAATTTTATGGTGAATGTGCCGGATTGTGAAGGGAAAATAACATTTTTATGCTTGGCTGATGCTGCCACATGGTCAACATATTTTGATGTTTCAGTTACAAAAAAGCAATTTTAAGTAAGAATGGATGACGGGACGATGATGCTGCATTTTTAGTTGCATATTCGCTATCAATGTTGTAGAACTTATAGCATTAATGAGCAAGCATTTTGAATAGTTACCAAAAATCCTTGTGCTCTAAATTTTATGCCAGAATTAGCCGGAAATTTTTCATAAAGCAGTCAAATATTAGGGAAAGTAAACCAAGAAATCTTGGTACAGAAACATTCCCTATGCTGCACTTCAGTAGATGATTAACCCCTTAAGTGGTAATGACGGATATATCCGCCAATATATTTTTTATCCAGGTTGATCATGACGGATATATTCGCTAAGAATATTTTATTGGGGCCGTCCATGGCTATCACGAATATGCTCGCCTGCGATGCTTCCACTGTAAATATAACCAATAAGGAACAATCACGTGTGTTTGTGATGCCATCAACACCGCATGTTGTTGTCTGCCGCCATTTGATTTCGGTGTAAGCTAGTAGTCAGTACTGTGTGGGTTTCAATAAACCGGCTGTGTGTTGCTTGATTGTTTGTGTTCAAATTACGTTTAATAATGTCTAGTTCTGATGATGAAATGACTATAGATAGTTCCAGTGATGACGGGAATCAATGCACTAGTTCTGACGTATCAGATAACGATTCCAGTTTTGACGAAGATTTTGAAGCGAGCGATACCGAAAGTGAGCATGAACCTAATCTTGATACAAGTTTTGAAATGCCCTGGACAGAAAATGGGATTCCTAGGCCAGCGTTCCCTTTTACGTCAAACAGTGGTGTTCAAGTGAACAATTCAAAGGATATAGTGCAAATCTTTGAATATTTTTTCGATGATGACCTAATAGATATAATAGTCAGAGAAACAAACAGATACGCATCGCAGTATATTTCTTCGAATCAAGATAAGCTCAAGCCAAATTCCCGAGCTAAAAAATGGTTTGATACAGATAGTAATGAAATTAGGACCCTTCTCGGGTTGCTAATATTACAAAGTATCTGTCCTAAGCCTGAATATAAAATGTACTTTTCACGACGAGAGAGCATCGAGACTCCTTTTTTCTCTAAAGTTATTGGTGAGAGACGATTTCATTTGTTGCTAAAGTTTTTTACACTTTGTAGATAATTCTACCATAAATCCGCATACAAAAAGCCGAAAATTGATTAAAGTTTTACCAGTTTTGGATTTGCTGAAAGAAAAATATATGTCAGCCTATGTACCAGAGCAAAACATATCCATAGATGAGTCCTTGATAGGATGGAAAGGCAGACTTGCTTGGAAACAGTACATACCCTCAAAAAGGAAACGATTTGGCATGAAAGTTTTTGCCTTATGTGAAAGTAGCAGTGGCTACATGTACAACTTTTTAGTTTATACTGGGGCAGATACCGCATACAATGCTTTGTATGAAAATGAACCACTTACTTCGAGGGTAGTGTTGACATTGATTCATCCTCTTTTAGATAAGGGATACTGCCTATTTTTAGATAATTATTATACAAGCATAGACCTGCTCGACAAACTAGTAAAAAGAAGGACAGATGGTGTTGGTACAATGAGAATAAATAGAAAAGGAATACCACAGGCAATAAAAGTAAAATTACAGCGAGGTGAAACCGTAGCACGTTTCAGAAGAAAGCTCATGATTCAGAAATGGCGCGACAAGAAAGACGTCCTTATGATAAGCACAATTCACGATGACAGCATGAAAAAAATTGCAGCAAGAAGTAAGGAAATTGAAAAGCCAGCTTGCGTAATCGACTACAATGCCAGCATGGGTGGTGTCGATTTATCTGACAATTACCTCCACTTTTATGGAATTGCTCGTACTAGAGTTAAAAAGTACTACATGAAGATGTTTTTCCATTTTTTAAGTGTCACTACATTGAATGCCTTTCAAATTTATAAGAAGATTGGCGGAAAACTAAAAGAATGAACTTCTTACTGGAGCTGGGTGAGAAGGTAGTAGAAAAATACAGCAAACCCTTACAAATGAAGAAAAGAAGGTCTAGAACGCCAATGCCCACAAGACTGATTGAAAGACATTTTCCATCGATAATAGCACCAACAACAAAAGCAAAACCGACAAAAAGGTAACTCTGCCAAAAACTTATCACTCTACGTTTGTTTAATTGCGTTTTTCTTTACTGCAGATGCGTTGTATGTGCTGAACAAAAGAAGCGAAAAGAGAGTCGTTATTGGTGCTTAGAGTGTCGTACTGGTCTCTGTCCTGCACCTTGTTTTGGGATATACCATACAAAAGAATAATATTTTCTATAAGTTTTTGACTGTATTTTCTTTTTGAATAAATAAGCTTTAAGTAATTTTAGGTGCATTAATTGTTTAAAAAAAGTACTTGTCATGGTGGCTTTCCCGTATATGTACGCACTTAATTTCCAGTAACCCAATTCACGTGGCTTTGACGAATATGTACGCCTGCACTTCAATTGTCAGTGGCATAGACGAATATATACGCAAGCGGTAAAACGACGTGCCACCTGAAAAGGCATCGCGGGAAGCAGCTACAGCCACTTAAGGGGTTAAGGATGTTTTACATTGTACATATTTGATAGACACCAAAGCATCTATCTCCTGTAAAAAACTGTACCTAATGATGATCTTTGCGGTCTCATGTTAAGAAGTTTTCAACCTCGATCAATTGAATCTCCTCTTATCTGCAGATTCTATACCTATTCTGTTCCTGAATTTCGAGTTTCTTCTCTCGAGAAATCACGCAAAATACCACTTTAAGTAGACTATTGAGCGTTAATTTCATATACGTTTTCTTCTCATACCTCTCATTTTTTTAGGACTGACTTGGACAAGTACATAATCGAATTAGGAGTTGTTCTACCAAGGATCGAAATCAGAGGAAAATATGACGTCAATGGCAATGTGCTTTTGTTTCCTGTAAGGTCAAAAGGAGACTTCTGGGCTATATTCTGTAAGTACACTAGCATTCAAAGCAAAACATATTTGAAAATCTGCTATTTTTTATACTCCAACTACCACGAAGGCCTAATGCGTAAATACTCATGGGGTACCATGGGGCTATAGAAGGATACAGGAGAAAGGGGGAACGCCACAAGGACTCTGGCGAGGGAACACGTGTGCATGCAATATGCCCCGCCTACGAGATCCGCCGGGTCGTACGTCCGCGTTCGACAGCCAAAGACCGTCTACCACCAACGAACAATCACAACATCCATAGCCAAGAGAAAAAATTCCTTGGAACGGGATTCGAACACGCACAGCGCACGGCGACTGATCAGGAGACCGAAGAGTCTACTACTGCGGCCACCGCTGCTTCCTACACAATTTTACTTGACCAGATTTTTGAAACGATGATAATGTTAATATAACTTCTGAAACGTATCATCTGTTTTTCCGAATCAAACTACATGCCGGATGTTTTAAATTCGACTCTCACCACTGGTATCCAGCAACAGTAAGAGATACGAATTCGGTTAAATAAGTTCAGACTTGCGCATTTATGTAACTAGGAAATTCACATATACATAGCTTTACAAAATAAAAATTGAAATATCTAAAAAGATAATATTCCTGTAACTCATTGAATTAAGATTAACCCAGTGCCGAAACTTACCCTATTTAAGGGTCCTATTAAAAACAGTATTAATCAATATAACTGTGATTCTAACCGAAAACCATTTTCCATTAGGAAACAGCCTGGTTCTTTCCAAAGCTAACTGTAAAAATATCAGTTCTTTTGAAATAACTGAGATTTGACATTGTGAATGCATGCAAAAATCCACTATGGAGTCTATAAAAAAGTAGATTCGATGATTGAGGACAAGAAACGATACGTCATGTTGAAATTCCCAGCAAACAGATAATATTATAATAATAATATATTCGCAATAAGTGATTTGGCAAAGTTCTATAGCATGTCTCATAAAGATATGTTCTAAAAATGTGCTCTTCAAGATATTTACAAGCTCTAAAAATATTCTCATCAAGTGATGAAAAAGACTTCCCAGAGAGCACACATACATCCAATAGTTGTCTATCCAAGATGGATATCCAGGATATTCACTGGGTGGACTGTCCACATCCAATGGATATCGATTTGAGTATCGAAATGACCGCCTATATCCAAGAATATGATATGACAATACTGATGTCAAATGTGTAGGGTGTAAACGTTATGGTAGTCATTATTGAAATGGGTAATGGGGGGGGGGTCAAAACAATTCAATAAGTTTATATGACCCATCATCCAAAAGTCTAAATGGCTTTATACTTTACAAATTTAAGTGCTTTATATCGACCACAATCACGACAATGTTACTAAGTTGTATAATCTAATGTAAAACATTTTTAAATTGGGTAAATAACAAATAAATGGCATTAAGCTTTTCTAAGTTAAGCCAAAATTTGTAGTCAGTAAGTAAGTGAGTTTCATTAAATTACATATTTAAAATACACATGACAGCAGCGCGTCGGCCTTTCATCACTCTTATCGAACCGGCAATCGATCGCAAACGGTAACAGTGGTTAGATATCGGGCATCGGACCTGTTTTGTTTTTGTTCGCGTACGTAATCGTGTTTCTCTACAATATTCTCGAATCAAGAGTTCATCGACATGGTGTTAGTTTACGGTGAAGCTCGTCAGAATTCACATCTTGCAGCTCAAATTTATCGCGACAGATTTCGCCAACGGATACACCCAGACAGAAGGACATTTGTACAAGTGTACCAAAGACTTCGAGGTACAGGAGGTGCTCAGCCCACTAATATTCGCACTCGTGAAAGACAGGTTACTGTAGAGCAGGAGGAATAAATTTTAAATATCGTGGAAATCAATGCAGATATCAGCACTCGGGAATTAGGCCTCCGCGTAGGACTATCGCATACCATAGTCCATCGAATCCTACGGGAAAATTTGCTTTATCCCTACCATGTACAACGAGTGCAGCCCTTTTTACCAGAAGACTATCCTCGCAGACTAACATTCTGTCAGTGGTTTTTGCACAAAAACATTGAAAATCCGGATTTTTTTAAAAACATTCTGACGAATGTACTTTTACGCGAGACGGGATATTAAATGTCCATAATACTCACACGTGGGCCCAAGAAGATCCTCATATCATTCGTGACGGTCATTTCCAACAATGTAATGTAGACATTACAATGGAGACAGAATTTGTGCTTTCTTCATGACGGGGCACCACCACACATTTTTACCCCCATATTATGTGAAACCTTTTGCTTCTTTTAACCCCTTCTATCCCCCAATTAAATAATGACTATCATAACGTTTACACCCTGTATATCCAACGAATATCCACTGAATATTCATGAAGTATCCAGTGATTCGTCATAGAAACCTCTAATGGCTGCTTCAAGTATACCCAGATGATCACACCATAGGGACGCGAACCTCTCGAGTCCATTTTGAAAAGGATGAATTGGAAACCTAATAAAGAAATTAACCATGATATTAAATTTGTAATCCGTGTATATCATATGTACTCATATGAATCCATTTAAAGTCATAGACACTTTATATGGTTTTTTTATGCATTTGCTTCCCAAGTTCCTCTATCATGAGCACTTGGACATGTTTTTGGAGGCTATGATCTTGTAAACATCTTGCTCAATTGATACAATAATGTTCATTATTCAGACGAATTATGGTGAATAGTTATCACAGATCCTACATTTTTCTACAAAAAGACACTGTCAAATAATGCACCACCTGGAGACACACCCGCTGCACGCTACACTAGATACACGCAAACATGGCATAAAGCAAAATGGAAGCCGGTAAGCTGGTCGGTATGCCTAAATATGCACCTTATAAAACGAATATTCTCAACATATATCTTGCGGTTTCTAAGATCCTGATGGCCAGGGTTGAATTTGAAACACCCGGTATAAGTTTCAACTTCACTTTATTGTACTACATTTTGGCCACCACCAGTGGCTTTTTTCAAATAGAATGACAATTATGGACAGTATATTTGTATTTATCTTTATTATATTATTTTAATTGTCATTGTACTTGAAAAGGCCACCGTTATGACCAAAACGTCGTACAATAAAGGAAGCATATATACGTGGTTTGATTGGGATAGACAATGGGGTCCTGTGATAATGTTGTAATGATGAACTTACTTTTTGAATAATAATTACTGATTTTGTGGATATATCCCAGTGACCGGCACGGGTATTACGTAAAACACCTATAAAGCGTCAAAAAACCTATAAGATGTCATCTGGCAGAGTAGGTAATTTTTAGGGCGCAAATAGTCATTCCATGTTGCTTACTAGGCTCGTTGTTTGTTTATTTTAACTAGTTAGATACAAATGTGTACATTGGCACGTCAAAAATAAAATAAATAATTACAAATGATGAATACAGTGTAAAATAGTACATAAGTATAAATTTCAAAAAATACGTTAAACATCCTAAAAGATTAACAAAGAAAGTATAAAGGAACAAATTACAAACACAATTAGAGAAGGAAGGAGGAGATATTAGTTGAGATTAAAAAGTGTCATTCAAACACTCTCTACAGCTATAATATGCTTTAGTCAGAAGCAGTTCAGTAATTTTTTTCTTGTATAAACAAGTCGCAGAAACTGACATAAGGCTAATAGGCAATTTATTGTAAAATGCAATACAGTTAAAGATGGGCGAACTTTCAAATTTGGCTGTTCTGTGCATTGGTGTTTATAATACAAATTCCTCCCAGTGCAACCTAACGTACATATGACAGTATAATATGTAAATACATGGTACAGTCAATACACACCCTCTGATAAATGTTGGCTTACAAGACTCTAGAGGTGAGATTAAACAGTAGTCGGATAATTCGCTTCTGAGAAATGAACACACGGATAGATGCACTGCTTTTGCCCCAGCTCAAAAAATTGAGTGACATATGTGAGTAGGCCAAGGCATAATACACAGTATTTAGACCATCTCTATCACGGAAGTTCTATAGCTAATTTAGTTCATGGAAGACAGTGTTTAACTTTTTACAGCCACTGTCGATGTATGTATTCCAGTTAAGAGAATTGTCCCAAATGCATCCCAAGTATTTCACCTCATCAGCTAGGCTAATATTTGTTGTAACATCTGGATCTAGAGATTGGGAGTTACGCAGATGGTATTGTAATGACATTGTCTCCGAGTTATATTAAATTTAATCGGTTACAGAAACACCAAGCGAATGAATATCTCATCTATGATTTTGGTGGTTTTTTCCAATAAATGATCGGCTTGTATCTGATGCTATAGTAATTGCTGTGTCATCTGCAAAAATCGATAAACGTCCGTCCTGAATGTATTCAAGAAGATCGTTTATGTAGCATATAAAAATCAAAGGTCCCAAAATAGAACCTTGAGGCAATCCAAGATGAGGATCAAGAGAATCCGAAAGCCTGCCTTTGCATGATACAGTCATCTTTCTGCTTGTCAGATGAGACTCTAACCATTTCAGAACATTGCAAGGGAATCTAAGAGCCTTTAGATTGCTGACTAGAAATGTTGGATCTGAGGTATCGAAAGCTTTTGTTAGATTAAAGAAAAGTGTTGCCGATTGTTTATTAGTATCTAATTGAGTGAATATATAGTTCAGCATATTAGAAGAAGTGGACTCCAGTGCAGGTCATTTTTCTCAAAATAGTAAACCATTCGGATATACTCGTATATAATTTTTTCAAATGATTTTGAGAAGCTGTTCAGTGAGGATATTTGACGATAGTTGTCAATATCTGCTGTACTACCTTTCTTATGCTCATTATGCTCAGAAACAACAAGTGCAGTTTTAAGTGCCCCGGGAACGTGCCAAACAAAAGTGACAAGTTCAACAGAAAAACAATGTGTACCATGAGCACATCGAGTACATGATCGAGCGTTTTTAAGCTTAATCCTTTAAGACCTGAACACTTGTTTAGTGCCGCCATGGCTTCTAGTACTTCGCGGTGTGAGATGGGTTCATTGTTGAATTGATGCGTTATGTTAATGTCCTTGGATGTAGTAGAAGGCAAGGACATATTTTGACCAATGTTCTGACTAATCGCGTTGCTTGCAATATTCGAGAAATATTCAGCAAACAACTTACATACGTCCGCTGATGACTTTAGATTATCACCAACGTTTAAAGTGATCAGCCCGTTTTTGTCTAGATTTCCACCAAGCTCAAACTTTATAATATTCCACGCTTCTTTACCTTTATTGTATGAATTGCAGGTTCTGTTTTTATAGAAAGAAATCTTTCTTTGCCTAATACTGCGTTTATATGATTTTTTTCTTTCGTTGTAATATTCTTTAAAATTGCTGCTATACTGAGCGTTAAGGAAAAGATTTGGGTGTGAACGTCCATCTATGTTGGAATCACTCAACTAAACTACACGCATTGTTAGTTGCACATGTTTTGTGAGGCCGTGTAGTCTGTAGTTTTTATCCCCGAGAAGAAAGTTGGTTGAATAGAATAAAATCAGAGACATTCGCTGTGTGAGAAAATCATTACTGAATATGCTGCCAATGAAGAATATCTAGTAGCTGTGCCCGATGGATTATTTATATGTTGTCCTTTCTGAAGACAGGTTATGTTTAAAGTTATAAATTACGAAAAACCTTTAGGAGAATTATGGAAAATCATCACCGCGCCTGTGTTGTGTGTAATTACTGTTAGCATGTATATGGCTTGTGATTTGACAGTGTACAGTGAATATAATTATTTCTTATCTCTCTCATTTTTTAAATTCAGCATATTGTTATAAGTAATTTTCAGAATGGATAAGAAAAAGTGGATGAGAAACTAATTTCTAGCTTTTAATCTCAATTAAGTATATTTGAAACAAGAATCCAATGGAATTATCATCAACACATACAACTCACAGCTTAGACCTACACTAATGCCATCTCTGAAGCAGATTTTACATCACATCAGAGCCAAACATTGATAACTGAAGCTTCATGACATTTAGGCAACACCTAACACAACTAAGTGCTGAGTTAACATCTGATGGGCACGTTGTCAACTCCTTTTGTAGTTGTACGTATTGCCTAAGCGTCATGAGGCTTCAGTTATTAATTTTTGGCTCTGATGTGATGTAAAATCTGCTTCGGAGATGGCATTATTGAAGGTAACGCCGATGCATAGGTGCATAGTGAGGATTTGTGTGCTAATAATATATGTTGATGATAATTCCATCGGATTCATGTCTTTCCATTCTGGAAATTACATATGCAAGTTTGCTGAATTACAATTCATATAGGTATACGATTTCCCGTAATTCTCCTCAAAGTTTTTGAAAACACAAAAAAACGTAAAAAAACCGTAATTTATGACTTTGATCATAACCTGACTTCCGAAAGGACGACACAAAAATAATCCGTCGGGCACAGCTAATAGATACAATTCATTGGCAGCATATTCAGAGTAATGATTTTCTAACACAGTAAATGTCACTGATTTTATACACATGCAGACCAACTTTCTTCTCAGAGATGAAAACTATAGACTACTCGGCTTCACAAAATATATGCAACCAACAATGCGTGTAGACGTGTAGTTGAACCATTCCTCCATAGATGGAAGCTCACAACGATCCTAATGAGCAAACGTGGAATGACTGTTTGCACCCTAAAAACTAATTAGCGTGCAATATGACATTTTATAGGTTTTTCTTGACGTCTTATAGGTTTTTTACATAATACCCGAGCCGAATAAATTATTCATTAGAAATAACCCTGTTTTCCTTCATTCAAGATCAGTGGTGAATGGAAAACTGTGAAATTAAAAAATACCTCATTCCTGGATTAAACTCAAGATATAGAGCATCAGGTGTGTCAGAGCAATTAAGAGATAATAAATCATATTTTATTCATCTTTCAGTGGATGTTGATGGTGCAGCAAAAATACACGGCAAAGAATACAAAAATGAAGAAGGTGTTCGATTCATGAGGATAGATAAATTATTCATCGACTTCAAGTTAAAGAGAAGCAGATTTAGGATAAGGGATGTCATCAATCATGGAAATTTATTAGGTAAGATAAAGGGTAGAACAGTGGTATCAGAGTCGCAAGAAGAAATATAGCTAAAAAATGTTCCCTCATACTTATGACTGGGATAATTTAGTCTAGATAATTGAATTAACGGGAGATATGTAGATTCATGAAAACATACATAAACATGACGTAAGCGAACTTAAGACACTACCAGTAAGTTCCACATTATGCCATCTACAGTATATTCAGATAAGAGATAGACCGGACATAAACAAGACCACGTGATCATCGAACGCTGTAACATTCGGCAGGGACGTATTAAGAGTCACGCAGTACATATTTTAGATAGTAGATGCTGCTTTGCGTAACTTTGTAGTAAATTAGCATAATTCGATGTGTATACGATTGGTGATGGATATAGGATCATGTGGGGGTGGGGTAAGAAATATATAATGATGTAAATATACATAAGGGTTTCAAAATTTTCGCTTCGATTTCCAGCTTCGGATGCCGCCTGATGTTTGGTGAAATACAGTCGAATATAATCTCAAAATGGCGTTTAAATTAAAAAATTAAAAATAATCGTATATCTCTTAAAATTGCTTTTAGAATATTGATTAGTATATTTTTTGATTTCTAGGTAAATATGTAACCAAATTAAAACGTTCAAAACGTAAAAAAATGTGCATGGTTGAACATTGTCAGAAAGTAGATTCTTGAATAGGTTTTGCCAAAATGGGTTCAAAAATGTCAATAATTAATTAAAAAATACAGTAGCTTTATAAATACTTATAACTTACCGAATTTGATGAACGACATCTTTTATTGGAAAGATGAGCTTGATGAGCTTTCATCATCGCTACTGCCTGAAGCACCAACGTCAATAATGAATGGCTCGACTTGTTCCTCTAAAATATTGTCCAGTTCCCACATTCTCTTTTCAACTTTGTCTTTCACGTGCTTAATACAGTTTTCCCATTTTTGCGCTGTTATTAGTTCTAGTGCTTCTTTGAAAAGTCCTTTGAGGTCACAAAATTTAAAAGTTGTATTGTGCTTAGCTATATAATTTTTAACCTCTGCCCATATGAGCTCAATGGGATTGAGCTCGCAATGGTATGGAGGTAAACGGAGCACAGTTTTATTTTGACTTGCTGCCATTTCGTCAATGGCGTATTTTTGATATTCCGCCTTGTGATCCTTGACAATTCTTAATAATTGTAGTTTCAGCATTGCTTCTTCAAAGTTGATATTTTTCGAGCGGAGCCAATTTTGAACATCAACTTTCCTTGAAGCCGTTGTTGGGACCTTCTCCATTCTTCGAGAATGATAAGGCGCATTATCCAACACAATTACTGAGTTTTCCTCTAAGTTCGGTAAAATTTTTGAAAACCACTGTTCAAACGATTCGCCATTCATTTCCTCGTGGTAATCTCCAGTTTTCTTAGACTCAAAGCACCACAGACCGTCAACAACAAATCCATCCTCACTGCCAATATGGCAGATAATGAGCCTTTTCCCTTTACCTGGAAATCGAAGTACTAACTGGTGTAGATTTATTTCAATAAGCGAACCTTTTTCAAATGTTTTCATCACATTCAGCGAAAAAACATTGAGACATGAGTATCAGATTGCTATAATTGGGATTATTTAGTCATATTGAAAGAAAGAATATTGAACGTCGTATGATTACTCAGCGCTTCACAATTTAATTTAAAGTTATAAACCTCTAAAAAATGAATGATCAGGAACCTGAAATACGCGCAAATATTAATATTAACAAATTATAACTTTATAAAGCTTAAAGTATGAATTAAAATGATTAGAAATATTAGGAACGGTACACAATATAAAACTTAGTAACTTTTTTAAGTTTATAATATTCGACATATTTTAAGATTATATTAAAAAATTATTGAAATATCGAAAACACATAAAAACATGGCTTAAAAAAGTTCTAACAAATGAAAATGACAATAAAACATCCACGCATTTTATCGAAAGTTATAAAAGTTTTGTTACTTGTAATATGTTTTATCTGCCCCCTGGAATTAATGTTTAGAACCTTGTTCCCAAGGTTTGAAAAACATCCGATTGTTGTCTATTACTCGTATTTACCTGCTGGATTTTTTAATCCGGTGGACAGTCCATCTAGAAAGGTCCTCCTGGATGAAGTTACAGAATCATCAACCCATACTTTACTTGTAGTGTGTCCTGCGTTTACCCACGTTTCATCAAGGTAATAAATCTTCCTGGTTTGATTTCTATATTTCCCAATTTTTGTTAAATAATCCCTCCATAGCACAATTTCTTCTCTATCCAGTAGTAAACTATTACGACCCCGTTTTTTCCATTTGAAATTTAAATGCTTCAGTAACGCATGGAAAGTTGATCGTTTGAAATTTGGCAACGTTGTTTCTCCATTTACCTCCTTCAGTACTTTATCTATAGTAGGTATTTCATTCCTAAAGAAGAATTCATGCACTTTCCTCCTAATCGCAGGCTTATCAGATTCATCCAATGATTTAACAATACTTTTGCGATGTTTACTGGTCATTGGCTCAGAAAAGGTGTGATTTTTTTTGTCTTGTCTTAACACATTAAACACTGATGCGCGACACACCCCAACTTTGTGAGAAACCTTCACAACAATTTCTTTGATGGTTGATGCCTCGTTCTCCTCGCGCTCGATCTTATATATATTCAAAATGACCTCTTTCATTTCTGCACTCAGGTGTCTTTTTTTAGAGCGTTTCCTAGGTGGACTACAGGAGTTTACAACTTCATCGGCAGTATCTGTACTACTGGGCATTTTGCGCAAGCAGTTGATAACAATAACAATCAATAACAAGGTATAACAATAACAACGACAAACTCAACAACTTAATAAGATAACAAACGAAAACGTCCAAAGAAATATCAAATTGCAATGATGCACACGACATACGTAACACGTCTGAACCTGAATGTGACTCTGCCTTGATACGACTGCTCTGCCGCTCGGCATAGGCATTTAATTGCGAATTGACCAATGAGGGTTCCTGTTTTACGTCGAGACGGCGGCGTTAGCGTGAAAATCACCCGAACCTTTTGTTTACATCCGGTCTATCTCTTATCTGAATATACTGTATGTTTCGACCTACGACCGTCGGACGTTACTCCCAATACAAGTCTCCATGAACAGGGGGTAATCTCTGGCATGAACCGACGTTAAAAACTCCTAGGCCAGCTCTGATCATCAGGAAATAAATTGTTTGAGAAAGGTATCTATTGGAATATATGCTGCCATCTGTGGGCAATCTTCATAACTGTATGGATGTCATCTTGCCTTTGAAAATTCAATGAAAATCTACAGTAGGTGTCACTATAGGCGGGTTAGATAGGTAGATGGCTGAATTAGAACAGAACCCCAGAACGAACCAAAATAATACAAACTTGAATCAAGCAGGTCGACTCACTACTAGATTTATGGGATATTTTTCTGTTGTGCTGGGCCCAGGTTTTGCGGTATGTATATTTATTATTAGGAGAGAAAGGTAAAAAACGGAACGTACCGGTGATATCGAAATTCACAGTTCTAATTCATTTTACCTGATAAATATCTAGGGTAAATCGAGGAAAGATGGAAATATTTTTTTTAATCGTCTGTAATACTTTTAATAATTCGGTTTTAACAAAAAATATAATATTTTAGGGTAGGGCATGGTAATTATTATTTGTTGCTCTGTGCAAATTTATTATAAATATGGTTTTTCATTTTGTTGATAAATATCGGTATTTTTTATATGTGGGCCATCTCTCCTATAGTGTTTAGTAGAGATGACCATATCATAGAAGGTAAGATGCCCATATAAAATTTAAAGACAATAATGAGTTTTATAAGAATACTCGTGAAATACCTATGAGACTTTATTATTACATATAACAGAAAAAAAGCTAAAAACTCAATAGCCAATCCTTTTGCCAAAAAAGTAACTTACATTAAAAAACTAACTATACTAAGTGACACATAAATCCGAACACCCAGTTTAAATGGTTTTATTTTAATAAAATTTAGTATAAGTACTTAATGAAGCATAATAAGTAAATGATAAAAAATTCAAAATGATTGCACTGCTTTAAAGCCCTTTGACCTTTAATAATGTGCGGATGCACCCTGATGTGCTACGCATTCTCCAACGCGCCTAGGCATGCTTCTGATCAGGTGGTCAATGTCCTCCTGTGGTATCTCATTCCAGGCAACCACCAACTCCTCTCGAAGTGCTTCTAGAGTCTGAGGAGGACGTTGCAAATTGAGCAATCTCCTACCCATCATATCCCACACGTGCTCAATTGGGGATAAGTCGGAAGATCTTGGTGGCCATGGTAACAATGTGACATCATTATGTTGAAAGAAGTCTATTGTGACTCTTGCAACATGTGGTCGGGCATTATCTTGTTTGAAAGTTGGATCTGCCAGGGTGTCAAGATAGGGTAAAAGATGGGGTTCTAGGACTTCGTGAATATAACGCTTCGCGTTCATGTTACCTCTGATGAAGATTAAAGGTGACCTGGAACCATAAGCTATAGCACCCCAAACCATAACTCCAACAGTGTGATGAACATGTATTTCAACAAAAAACTGTGGATTCCTCCTTTCACCACGGCGCCTTCTAACCCTGGCACGACCATCGTGCATGCCTAAACAAAATCGAGACTCGTCACTAAAGACAATACTGTTCCATTCCTGATCCCAGAGTGACCGTTGTCTGCACCACTCAAGGCGATTACGTCGGTGTTCTCGAGTTAAAGGGAGGACCCAGTGTGGCCGGTATGAAAACAAGTCAAAACTTCTCAATCGTCGGTAAACACTTCGCATGCCAATAGGTCTTCCGTGTTCTGCAAACCATTCATTTGCAATGGGCCTGGTAGTGGAGAAACGGTCCCTTAAGGCCAATAATCTTAGGCGGCGATCTTCACGGTCTGTTGTTCTACGGCGGCGTCCAGTGCCCCTTGCTCTTTGCGTACGGCCTTCTCGAAGCCATGCCTGACAACACCTAACCACAGTGTCTACACTTCTTTGCACTCTAACTGCAATTGCCCGAAAAGAAAGTCCAGCTTCCCGAAGTCCCACTATACGGCCCCTATCAAACTCACTAAGTTGACGAAATCGTACAGGTCTCCGTACTCTAGGCATCGTAACCGATCGTAAAGGATGTCAAGAACCAAAATCCGCCAACGTTGATTCTTTACTGCGGCTGAAATATTCATTTTTAGAGCGTTAGTGAATTAAAAAAAGCAGTATAAAAACCGGAATGTCCAACTGATAAGGCTGAAAATTTTTTCACTTGTTATTTACAGTAAGATAAATACATTCACCAACTTTTATTAAAATAAAACCATTTAAACTGGGTGTTCGGATTTATATGTCACTTAGTATAACTTAGTGAATTAACTATAAACCACTACAAAAAAAGAACAAAACAACATATTTTTTATAAAAAAACATGGTAATAGTTCAAGAACAATATTATATATATATATATATATATATATATATATATATATATATATTTAACAGTATTCATTGCAGAATTCAGTTGCTCCTCGGTACATTTGGCGCTCTCCAATGATTTTCTTTTATAAATATGTGGCATCTAAAATGAATACAAATGATCTACGATGGACATCTTACATAGGAAATAAGTGGGCCATCTCTCCTTTTCTTCGAGGAAAGATGACCATAGCATGATTTAGATTTTATATACGTTAATTCGCGTAAAACGCTTAGGCAACACAAAACACACCACACATGGTAAAATAAACACCAGAGGGGTTTAAATTCCAATAAAATTTTATGAAATTTGGCTAGTGGAAAATTGTATTCAAAAACTATTGAACCCATGTAAACAGTAATTTTAAAATAACTTGCCTTTAAACTTAGTTAATTGACTCAGAGTTTCTAGTATAGCACGATCACACAACAGTACATTACTCCTTATTGAAAAAAACGCCCTCTAATAACTATTTAGGAAAATATCGAGTTGGGCCATCTCTCCTCTATGGCCATATACCTAACCTCGATTCACCCTATATCTTTATCATATATGAGGATATGTGGGGCTCTGGAGTTCGAAGCTTTATCTGAATCTGAGTACATACACAAAACATTATTGATCTATTTTACGTTTTACGTTTAAAATATTTCTACTGGATAGTTCAAAACTCTGACTGCATTCATAAAAATATGGTCATAATGTACCCCAGTTTCTTCTTCATATAACACATTATAATTTTTGTCGCAGCAATAATAACTTGATTAGACCCGAGTCGGCCTGAAAATAACTGTAGAAAAGATTAATGATTCCAAACGAGGTAGACTTCAAAAATGTTATGCGTGGAATCGTGTTCATCGTACCTGTTTTTGAGGATTGTTATATCGACCTGTATATATATATATATATATATATATGGATAAAACATACACGTATAGAAATTTATGAAATTTAGCAGCTTCAAGAAATAATATTCAGTAAAGTTGGTTAGAACATGAACACATTCAGTGGTCATTAGGTTCTCACTTATTCCTGAAAACGTCAACAATATATTTGTGACGTACCTTTGGTGAAGTTCTAACTTAGGATTCTGGATTTTGTCGGCAACTCCTGCAGGAATGGTTATTAATTCATCGGTGGTTAGTATCGTACAATACTTTTGTCATCATGTAGACACGTTTTGAAGATTAATTATTACTAGGGCATATTGAGTTGCCCTCCTTGACCACATCTTTTGTTTTCTTAGATCATCCTTGGGTTACCTCCCAAAACTGCTTGACTTACTGTACTGCTATGATAGCACAAACTGCTGTTAATCTGAAACTGAAAAAAAAGGAGTCTGAAGGTTGGACCTTCGAATTTCGTTTACCAAATGGCCAGAAACGGTTATTTCATGTTCACAGCCCTTGCAAATGATTTTCATCACATAAAGAGAAGGCTAACTAAAAGGAATCACTGATGTTAAAACACTAAGCAAGATAGTAATATGTATAGCTTAGCCACCACCTCTCAATTTTCCCCCTAACTTCTTTTTCAAAAATGATTACGATCCTCTGAAAAGTCAAAAAATAAAGCTCGAGCGATTTTTATTATTTCCGCTTTATGCCTTTTTCTACACCGGCACGATTTTCAAGAACTACAAAGCTTTTTCGTCCAGGTTCAAAGCGGTTCAAAGATCTGCAATTTTTGAAATTCGGTCCAGCGGCAGCGGCCTAGGGCCAAAATATGAAAAGAAAAAAAAATTATAGTAGCTGAAAATCCGGGGTTGGGGGTTGTAGGGAGTGGGGAAGTAATTTTACGCACCTATTAATACATATTTCACACATCATAAATTTCGCTCACTCGGTGACTCAACTTTTTCAGAGTTGAGATCGTACAATCAAATACTTTGCTTTTGACGAATACTGTAGAACTGAAATTAGCTACATCCAAATTTACTGATTTTTATGATGAGGTCTCAGAAGCAGAATTACTTTTAGAGATGCCAAGACTGTGAAGACACTTGAAAGCCGCTAATGTTACAGTTTCTGATTGGGTATCTCCAGATTTTGTAAAGTTAATTGTAGAATGGGATTTTACAGAATATCTTCCAAATGATTTCACTGAAATTTGTCATGTGAGCTAAAATTAATAAAAAACTATTTGCGGGCAACAATGACCCAATCGCGGCGTAGCAATCTTGGTATATTAGCCATCCAACATGAGGCAATACAAAATATAAATTTTGATGGAGCTATTTCTGAGTTTGCAGCTGTCATAGCTAGAAAGAACAGATTTTAATTGTAAGTAAAAATATTTTTTTGTCTTAGTTTTTATTGTGTTTCATTTGTTAAATATTTTAAATATAAATATTAAATGATCCATTATAAATCGTATAAAATTTATTGGTTCTGACTTTCGGTGGGCACCACCAACTTGCGCACCGGGTGCCACTCAAGGTAGCTACGCCACTGAGTGGGGACTATGGAGTATGGATGGCATTAATTGTATGGGCCTATTTAGCTGATTTAATCCATTATTTTTTTTTTGTTACACATGCTTATAGCTAGTGCAGAGAGGCTAAGTTGTGATGAACATAATCGTTATGAATAGATGACAATGTTGGGAAGTGCAGAGTCAACCTACTTGACTCCATTTCTTGCATATGTTAATTAGATTTATCAGGAAAATACGTTTTTATTCGCTTGTTTCAGGTGAGGCAATGAACCAATTCCTAAACAACAACTCCGAGGAGATCATCAGAGAAATGAAACCGGCAGCGACCGCTTCGATAGCCAGGCACTTCAAGGGCTTCTTGAACGCTGCGTTTGTAAAACTGCCGCTGCAATTGTGGCTACCAGACGCTTAAAACATGGACGAACCCATCGTGCACCACAACTCGGCGGGTCAAGGTTCACAACATAAAATCCAAGATCAGCTGCGGAGCTTGTTGTTGGGTTTCTGCTTTACACCAACGTCTGACTATAATACTCCGTATGTAATAAGGATGTCACAATCCCTTATCTTTGGAGCAAATCAGCCAGTTGGTGCAAAAAGGGTAACTGTATCGTTGTTACCCAGTATTAAACAAGTTAAGTTAGTGAAATCAACGAAATGGAGAAAATAATGTTTCCCGATTTTGAGAAAAGGGACTGCAAAACATTTTTTCTCTCGTAGTCAATAGTTAATCGACCCCTTTCCCTCCTCAAAAATAGAAACTTATCAGTTTCAGAGTTGCCTAGCTGAATGTCAGTCACTGTTTTTCTACTTTCTCATTATTTCTACTCTTTTACTTGAAGTAGTATGTCTCGTTTACGCTAATTTGGTTTTTAAGACATATCATTATGATAATCATGGTGAAATGGGCTACACAGAACGTGCTTCAAAAAATCTCAAAGCCGAAACTAGTGAGGGGCTGCTTCATCATCACGAATATCAGCTATAGAATAACCAGCCAAGCATTTTTTAAAATGTTCAGCGTGACATTTTCCTGGACTCGTTACGAATTTCTGAAATAATTTTTAGTATACTTAGATTTGCACCACCAGGTTTCTGGCTTCTTTTCAATTGGACTCTGGGCGTAGTCTAGAGCACTGAAGCACTCGTAGCGGTCCACGTCGTTCAAAAATTTGCTGGCATAAGGCGCTAGTGTTTCCGTTTTTGCTGAATTTTTTTTCTATACAATTCAAACAAAAGGTGTGAAAACTGTAAATTCGTTTAAAAATAAACTAAAAAAATATCTATAAACGGATAGGGTTTTGTTGTATGGACAAGATGGAAGAACCTTTATATACAGCGTGTCCTGCAAGGTAATAGACATAGTGAAATGGTAGGTAGTATATTACGAATAGAAAATGAAATAGTTCTAAATTCATTTTTTATGGATATACAAGGTGATTTTGCTAAATATGTTAATAATGTATTTGTTTGCTACACATTCGTTAAGTCGTCGAGGCATTGATTGGATTAGGTGATTGTTGTCTTCTTGGTGTATTGTATCCCATGCCATCTAAATTTGGTTTCGTAGGGCCTCCAAGGGGTGAATTTTTCAATCTCCTTTCCATGACCCATACATGTTGGATGGGGGAAGGGTCTGGAGATCGAGGAGGCCACTGAAGCAGAGTTACTCGGGACGCTTCTAAAAAGTCTAAACTAACACGTGCAACATGAGGTCGTGCATTGTCCTGCTGAAAAAGTGGATCTTGTAATGTTTCCGTAAAGGAAAGCAGATGTTGTAAAGCTTCGTGGATATAGGGCAGTCATTTCCTTCGCGACCTGGTGCCGTAAGCAATGGCACCCCATACCATAACACCCACAGTGCAATGAATATACCGTTCGATGGAATATTGGACGTGTTCCGAGTTCACCACGGATCCTCCTTACTCTTGCAACGGCCATGGTGTGCAAAAACAGAATCTGAAAACTTCGTTGAACACGGCTGAGTTCCATTCCTTTTCCATTCAAGTCTCTCTCTACTCATCCATACCAATCGTTGTCGACCATGTTGTGGGTTCAGTGTGAAAACAGTCCAAAAGACCTTATTCGGCGATAAACTATCCTCATTCTGATTTCCCTTCCGACAACATCAAACACTCGCAACTACCACCTTGTTGTGGAAAATCGGTCTCACATAACGATGCTGTCGCTCTGTAATCAGTCTTTCACGTCCAGTACCTCTAACTCGTCGATTTCGGACTTCTTGGAACCACGCTCGACAACATCTCATTACAGTAGCTTCGTTTCGATTCACCCGATTAGCGATTTCTCTAAAAGAAAATCCTGCTTCATGTAATCCGATTATACGACCCTTCTCATACTCGGCAGGTTGAGGGAAATTAGCGCGTCTGCAAACTCTAGGCATGATAATGCAATGAATAAACAATAAAACAAATCGAACCGATACAGAAAAATTACTGAATATTTAGTAAACATGTTCATATTGCTCGGATCCTGATATGACAAAAAAACATTTTATCGGCGTATACTTCCATGATAGCGAATATTTTTAGTAGTTTTTATAAAATTCAATTAATAATTCTGGGTGTTGCATTTTATATGTCACTCAGTATATAAGTATAAGCCCGCCAAATCTTTATTATCACATATTTCACGCACTGTTGAATCGATTTTGATGAAATCTTAAACAATAATAAAGTTACCTAGGAGTTACTAGTTACTTAAGTCTAGTCAAGCGGTAAAAATATCCAGGGGCTGATTCGATTGTTTTAAATTTTTTGCATTTTCCAAAATCAATACCTTTTAAGCTGGATATTGAAGTGTTTGAATTGAAATAACGTAGTTTTGGGACCTCAAAATTCCAGGGTTGGAGTCAGATTCCTTTATTTGTTTACATTTTATTAAGTCCTATACGCTCTATTTATTATCATTTCAATGATAAAAGATTACAATATGATATAAATAGAATATAATTTACAATTACAGCAACACTTTTTTAGTGAGATAATTCTATCAAGTGTTTCTGCTTCGAAGCGATTTGGTATCCAATATACAAATGCACTGAATTTGACTTTCCAGATGAACTACAATAATCAGAAAAATGTAGACAAACCTAATGTACCCGTCCGAACTTAGCATTTTTAGCATAGTTACCCTTAACATGCTTTCACCAAAATCCTACATCAGATTAAGCTACATAATGCACACATAGGTAAATCACACAAGAAAATGTCAAGGTCAGATCTACATGTAATATCTTTGTAAAATTTTAAGTTAATTTCAACAAAATCTGGAACGTCAAATTTAATGAATTTGCATACTGAATGCCGTTTCCCTTTTGAGTAGAGTAAACTCCTGTTGCTGTCACTTGATAAAATTAAATAACTAAAAAGCCTATCGAAAAAAATATATATAGCGTGCGTAATATTGCCCTTTATTTATATCACCCATTTATTGTTCTTTCTTCTGCAAAATAACAATCAGTTACAGGGCTTTGCACTTATTAAATACAAACAAATGAAAGAACTGCATCTGGCCCTGGAATTTTGAGCACTCAAAATCTTCAGCTCAATTCTAAGCACTATTTTGTGAAATTTTGATGAATTCGAGTTTAGTCTCCATACTATCTGTAAATTTGGACAAGCACACAAAGGACCACAGGTAATATGCACTGGTATTTCATATTCCAAGGGGTTTTTTGGTAAGTAACTGCAACTAACAGTTTTAAAATAATAGTCTTTACAAACGTCCAGTTTGATGTGTCGGAACGAAGTGTCACTCACATAACGTATACATGTACCTACGATGATAGATCAATCAAAATACATTCATTGCACTACCTACCATTTCGCTACGTCCATTTTCTCACAAAACACACCTTCTACTGAGTGGATAAATGTATGGACCTTGTAGTTTCGACAGCCAAAAGTAACTCATAGAAAAAATGCTCTTGCCAACACTAAATCATGGTTGTACCAAGATGGATGGATGAGGCAGGAAAAATATAAACAGCGCCATCGATTTCTTTTAAATATCAACCTCATATTTTGAATAAGATATTTAACACCTTTGGATATTTTTGTCAACACCTTTTTTGGAAAAAAAAACGGTTTGAGCATATCAAAGTTAGTAAGGTTTGACATTACAAACCATATAAAGCCCTTCAAAGCAGTAATAGTACCTCACTTCTACGATTTGATGATAATAATCACTGGCATAAAAATTCACAATGCTATGTACTCCTTCTGAGGCCTTTGTTTAGGAGCTTTCCGTGCTTTATTTCGATATATTTCATGCTCTACAAATAGTGTCAGTGACTTTTAGATCACCCTGTAGAAAAACGAATTGTTATACACAGTTGTGTTTTCAGGAATCTTGCGATTTCATAAACAGCTCAGCAGCTATATTCATACCAATCATTCATCACTCTTCATATGATTGCAATTTTTCATTTCACTCTATCACAATGAATTGATACAATCACGAAGAGGCTTTCAATGTGTTTACCAAAGCAATGATAATGCATCGCCTAGTGTCATCTTTTGTATTACATCACATGGATCTCACTGGAAATGATTTCACTTAATACATAGAAAGTAATTCTTTAAAATCAAATTGGTCATATTTTCAACAAACCCTTGAAATGTTCCGACACTGACCCTGGGAGAGGTATAGTAAAAACCATAAATCTCACGAGTCAGTTCTGCTAAGACTAAACAAAGGTTTCAGCCACACGGGTTCAGTATCGGTAAAACATCATGGAAAGTTGGTCGATACAACTTTAAATTGAGAATGTATTCCCCATGCTGCACCGCCTTGTTCTTTTTCATAATAATCGCAAACAACATAGATATCAATCTTAAATTGAATAAAAACAGCAGTAATTGTTGGAAATAATTAATTTTGATCTTAATCTTAGGACCATGAGATAAAAATGGAGATAAAGCATGGACATAAGTTGAATAAAAGTAAAACTGTATGTGAAACATGAAAGAAATGCAATTTTCATTTATATAAGTTCTGAAGCATCCACATATTGATCCTTCGTAGAAAGTATACCTAGTCTTTTTCACGAGTACCCATTACGGTAAAATGATTATCTAGTACTATTTCAAAATTCCCAATATTGGCAAAGGACACGTAATTCTGACGGGTCTGGCAGTGCCTGGTAGACAGAGTCACATTGTGTTTTGGTTTCTTGTAAAAAAGTAATTTGCATACAAAAAACAAAACGCAAACAAGTCTTACTAGATTTACACTCGATTCATTGTCGCCAACGTTGCACACCTACACAAAAATGTAACTTTCTGTTCACCTGTTCACCTCCATAGACGTCAAAACATGATGGATACTCCTGAAATAGAGTTTATATACTCATAACAACGCAATATTTTAAAAATTCAAGAGAAGAGAAACAAAAAATATGTATTCAACCGTCAAACATGAAACAAATAATTTTTCCCATATATACAAAGAACTATATAAGGTATTGATAAAATTGCTTCAAGAGAAAGTTGTAGATAATGGTAATGCCTTCAAAATGTTATATGTGTATCGGTCAATTTCCAAATACATTATTTAAGGAAAAGTGCACACCAGAAAACAACGAAGTAGAAACCACAATTCAAATGTTTTGTAGTGAACTCCACATCTACAAAAAACAAAGTTAATGGTCACTCTCTTCAAGATGTCCAGCGCCGTAGCTGCTGGAACAGTTTAGTCATTTGGGGTATAATTTTAAAGGTCTTTCCATCATCTAAAGCTTTTCTGTATGCAACTCAAGTGATTCTAAGTGTATTGATATGCGTATTTTTTTTCTAGACAGGATGCATTTCTAGGGAGTTAGTCTGACCTACAATGCTGGAAACGTTGCTAATGTTTTTTTTTTCGCTTATACGCACCAAATAACCTCCCGTACTTTGTATGGGCACAAACTGGTTGTCATTTAAACATTTCTGCTGGTACATCCTCGGATGTTAGTTCCTTTTAGAGCGATTATGTAACTATCATATAATTTCTCAAAGATGAATCCGTTAAAAAAAATAAAGTCAGAAAGTCCTTTTATACCTTCATTCCCTGTGTTTTAATACAAAAATTATATGTGATACGCTGTTACATTTACAGCTTATGAGCAGAAAGTGTTTAAAGCTGTCGTTCTATACCTGATTTGTCATTTCTAAACGAAACATGACGTTGTAAATATAACTTTAATATACTGTTATAGTTTCTTAGTTTATAAGTAAATTTAAGAAACTCCCTCTATACAAGCACATGTTTTATTATTTTTTTACCATAAAATGTGATGAATATTGAAACTTTATGGATAAATAAATGAAATTTTATTTTATTTGCGGTGTCTTGATGCCTTTCCTATATGAGGGTTACTTGAACAATAAGGTTATAAGAAACCTAAAAAATAATATTTACCAGAACACCGCGGCTCCTATGAGAACCCAATGTTCTTCAAAATAGTCTGCATTTTCTAGGTATTATGAAATTGTGCCAGCGCTCCTTCCAATCTTCGAAAATTTTCAATCTCGATCTTAGGGATAAAGATTAGCTCTCACCAATCCACATTTAATGTCATCTTTAAGGTTCTCCCTTATTTTGGAAAAGAGGAAGTCAAATGGAGCCAAGTCTGGCGGATATCGTTACGGGGCAAAAATTCATGCACAACCAATGAAGTGTGAGCAGGAACGAGTTTGGCTGAGGATCCTTGAAGGAAAGCTCTAATTGATGTTCTCCAACCTAATTAATGGGCCACGAGCTTTTTGCTTCCAGGTTTTCCTTATGCTTCGGTATTGCATTCCAAATGCCAAAAGCATCAATTATACTTGAAAGAGGTCACCGTTGGGACCAAAACGTCGTACAAAGTAGAATTTTGAACATATATGTGGTTTGATGCGGCCAGACAGATATGGGCGATTGTGATGTCATTTTTTTGCTAATTAGTTGCCTAAGTACCATTTTGAAAATACAGCAGCATTCCATTCCCAAAACTCTATAGAAGTTATTAGATTGAGATTATGCGACAGAAGACCGACAAAAAAACCAACGTCATAGAATTCCCAAAAAATCCACAATCACAAAATGCTTTCATTGCATATGGAGTTGGAGTTAAGTAAGGCTTGGATGATATACCCCGTAAAACCTGCGAAGCAATGCTTTCGATACAACTACGTTATCTGAATTCCTACATACTTTGAACAACAGCTGCTGCAACACCAAATATAAATAACAAACTTTATTTCTGAAGTAAAAATACTAACAGTCCAAAAATACATTTTGCAAGCAGCGCGGCAGTACCATGCTCGTCATTAGGATTTCTAGAATAGATTACAAAGCTGGAACGACCGGGATGGTACCAGAGACAAAACATTGTCTTTAGATAAGCGCGTATTATGCTATTTTTGTTTACAACTTGCACTATCTTGATTTAATTACACTGGACGATTATCTAAATTTAAATCTGTTTCTTTTATCACTACCACATTTTCTATCTCTGAACATGAACTTTGAAATGTTAGCATAGCATTGGCGTTTCATATAAATTCAATTTGTGTAACAACAGTGACTCAAATAGAAATCCAAATCATTATGGTTTATGTTGAACAAAGTTCCACGAGCGTTGATATAAGGCATAAAAATAATGCAAATTAGTCATATTTGTGTCGCGCAAACTATCAGTGATGTCAGAATTTTGGAAACCTATGGGCACATTCATTCTCAGTGCTGATTTCTATAACATACCAGATGTATCATAAAATATTTGGAAATGTTAAAGTTAGTACTGCAACATTAATCGATCCAGTATTTTTATATAATCCTCCAGCATGCAGTTATTACTCTGACAGTTTCAATAATAAATTATCATTACTTGCTAAACAAAGTTGCGTAGGACTTGACAATTTATCCCTTTCAGTTTTCGACAGTTACCTTCAGTAAAGAAAGCAGTGTGTTTTTGTCAACCAAGGAATGTCTCCAGTGGCAATAATCCTCCCCAGGTGTACCTCAGGGCTCTGCTGCTCGTCATATACGAGTATACCTTCGTGTTAAGCAAAAATATTGATAGCTCCCGTGTCCAGTATTTCGCAGGTTATACGCAGTTGCTTCATTATTTCAACCGAGATAATGTCAATGATAATAATTAAATTTTACAAAACGATGTTAGTAAATTAATTAAATACCCTTCAGATCATAATCTACTTATTCATCGACAAAAAGATAAGATGTTAATATTTTGCGCTCAAAGGAAAAAAGTCAATGTAAGCTCTTGAACACTCAGTTAAATAACCGAATCTTGCAATTTTGTGATTCTGCAAAAATTACTGGTGTTCTTTTTGATGCAAAATTAAGGTTTATTGAGCATGTTAAAAGTCTTTCACAGGAAACCTACTTAAGGTTACGAACCCTTATAGCAAACAGGTAGTTATTAAACTTTAAATTGCGTAAAAAACTATGTGAAGCGTTGGTCATATATACATTAAATTCTTGTATTATTTTATGCTACTCGTGTTTAGACAATTTCACCAAAAACGTTGTTCAAGTTTTTCAAAACAATTGTATACGTTTTATCTTTGGGTTATGTAAATTTGATCATGTATCAGCGAAATATCCTGCTCTAAATCGGTAAAAATTAATGACTTTGTCAAGTATCACTACTCAGTTTTGTTCACAAATTACTTATCACTACTAAACCCTCTCACTTGAGGGTGGAAATTTCATTTAATAATGATGTTCACTGTAGAACTCCCAGAGAAAAGAATACACTTTTTAAACGCAGTTTTTCATACAATGTTGCTATTATTCATAATGACATTCCTAAAGTGTATGAAGAATGTTCGTTACCTGTCTTTCGACAAAAAGTTGAAACATTATTACTCAACCCGCCAAACATATAATTTACGTAAACAAGTATTTCTTTTTTCATCCCTTGTTTTAGTCAGGTTAATATTTTTTGGTGTACCTGGGTTTGGAAAGTATTCTTCTTTTTCTATTTTTTACTTTCAACGTAACTAACCAAATCTGTTTGTGTGCTGTTGTGAACATCTGCTAGCGACTGGTTAAGTGTAAGAGTAGCAGCATACTAAACTTCGCCATATAAGTGTGACATTTAGATATTCTACAATGTAATTATAGATAAATAAAGACGTCTATTATTATTATTATATTTTGAATAGTACTCCTACTGTCAACAATTTTTCAAGCAGCTTGCGGGATTCCTAGCACTTATTAAGAGTGAACGCTATACTGAGAAAAGCTAGTTAAGTAAACCGATAACAAAAAACATTTTTCATTGGGGATAATAAATGGTATTTGAGCATTACGTGAAGCAGTGTTGCGTCTTAACGAAACACACAGCTAAATTGAATTCAAGTTTAGTTTGTATGTAGTCTAGTTTTAGATGCACTTTCCGTAATAGCTTGTTGACTTGTTTCAAGAATTGATCAAATACTGAAAAGTTAAAATTCAAAATTGCTTCAACATGCTACGCACAAACTTCTTAGCGTACGATACCCTGGAGTTTGTATATGCAAAGATGTTGTCTCTATATAATACATATTCAGTGAGATGACAATTTATGGATGAAGCATTCGACAAAAAATGGTGCCAAGTGGACTGACTTTATACTTCCCAGGCCTTCGAACTGAATTCTAGTAAACTTTGTGTTCTTCATTCAAAAAAAGTTCTCAGTTCGCACCAGGTAGTCTCATTTCTTGGAGCTCTGGTTTGTCCGCAATGTTTGATACGTACTTATATACTATATAATGTTAGCTGCGTAGAGATAACGGGGTAGTAGTGTATCAATATACTAACATAAAAAATTGCGATACATTCTACAACCACCCCTCCTCCAATTTTTCACCCAAAAATGATCGGGATCATCTGAAACATCAAGAAACGAAGTTTGTGCGATTTCTATTTTTTTTTGTTATCAGCATTTTGCTCCGCCGCCACTGGAAAAATTCAAAAACTACGAAGTTTTTTCGTCTTTAACGTAGTAGTAACCTCGTGTAAAAATTTCATCTATATTCGAGCAGTACTTTCCAAGTTACAGACGGATCAGGAATTATCAGACAGGCAAACTGACAGAGACAATTTCTCGCGATTACAATACTTTCTCACCGGAAAGCGTGAATCGACAAAAAGAACCGTCATCTAGTTGCGACACCCACTACCAGTGACTGGCTTTGTATGATCTGTTCTATGATTATGTAGATCAAATAATCTTATTTTCAGAATGTGAGCCGCTGAAGGTCTTCCATGCGAGCTTTCATATGAGAAATACTCGTACATAGAATGCTCAAAGATTCATAAATACAAACGCCAGTGAATTATGACATGTATCGCTTATTTTTAAGGCTTCGTCAAACATTAACATTCTAGAGTAGTTCTCCAAATTTCCTGATAATTACGAAATTCTTGCACAAATCTACATACTAAATCTTGTATGTCATCTTGGGCTAAGTCAGATTTCATACAGTCAGTGGATTCTCTGAATAAAGGGTGTAAAATTCGTCATACTTCATCACAATTTCTATTTCTATACTTTTACGAAAAAGTCATTAAAAAAAATTGTTTTAATATATTGATTAGCTTTGCAACAAGCTAATAATTCACGCTCTACAAGAGAACGTGTTCAATATTAGCAAGATTTGTTGGCAATATATGGTTGGCCGAGTTGCTGCGACAAAGACCCACGTTACTTGTAACAGGTAAATACCTTACTAGACTCGATTAAGCTAGCACACTTTCGGAAATACAATTAGTTCACTTACAACTGTTAATAACAGCAAATATATTAATTTCAGACAAACGATTTTGCTTTTGAGAAGTAATAAGTGCAGTGGTTCTATATAGTTTAGTTGGCATAATCAAAAATCAGCTTTTCGCGAAAATGTTGCCGAAATTTGTCAACCAAATACTGTAGATCGCAAATTGTAAATGACTATAGTTTGAGATTATAGACTCTACTTCTTGCGCTAGGCGAGTGAAGAAACAGGTCCTTACTGATCACAGGATCGTGAAGATATTCAATACTATTTTGCAGATTTTTAAATCTTTTTTTATCATCGCGTGACACCAGTAACTAATAACTACTGTCCTGACTGAAACGAGTATTTATTGTGTGGCATATACTGCTATATATTTAGAAATTCTATGCAAAGATGACATACGTCAGCCATTTTTTTTTTAGAGAAATTTTTGGAAAGCTCGTGTTGTTTTATGAGATCACGTCATTTTTGGGTTAATGTCCAAATATGCACCCAGTTCTTTTCGGTGTATCAGAATCAGTATTAACTCTTTTCACTTATCTTGATACTGTAATGTAGTCAAATCCCACTTACGCTCCGCCAGATCAATTACCATCGTGCGCACTCCTGTTAACTAGCGGGCCGCAAATGCCTGGGTATGTCAGCGACAAGCTGCGATCGAGTGCCCGTAGGCGCTTTGACTGGGCGTAACTAGGATTTGCATGCATTATTCCTGTAAGACATTGATTGCTTTAGCGTATTAGTAACTGTACTTTTATTCACTTAAGCTAAAGCACTTGTAAGTAATAAGTAGAATTCATTTTTGATTCATCGCACCCATTAAGGCGAAGTTTATAGGTTAAAGCTGAAAATATTACAAGCCTTGTAACGTTTTTCAACTCATCCAAACTCCTTCAGGGTGGAAAAAAAGACTCAAATTTCAGACAAATAATAATTTGAGTGATAGGCGTCACAACTACGTATGAACCGCGGTAAATCGCGTAGGGTATCACATCCACGCCACTGACGTTTTTCGGACACTCTGATGGCCACGTTGATGAGACATGTTGTCGATCTCTGAAGAAGATGGAGCAAAATCAATCTAGCGCTTTCTTCCGTTATCAGTTATCAGTGTCCGATGGTCGTCATTCCACACTGAATCGCATTCATGAATTCATTCGTTAAATATGATAGTTCGGAAATATCTTTACAATAACTATTTGATATGCGTTGAGCTATCGTACTTCTACAAGGTCTAGTTTTCGAAAAGTTTTCTATTTGTTTTTAAAAAGTGACCCAATTCTCAATATTCTTCAGTGATTTGTGTTTGTGATAATTTCGGGAATTTGTTTCGTTAAGACGTACCTGATTTTTTGTTCAATATAATGGCTAAGTTCACTAGGAGACAGTGGTTGACTTTGGTAGTTATAAGTATTGCAGATTTCTGTAATGCAATTTGTGTATCGCTACAAGCACCTTTTTACCCTCAAGAGGTAAGTGAATATTTTTTGTATTAATGGTATTCCTCCCTTTATTCTGTGATGTTCTTTGTTAACCCAGCCCTTGGATGTATCCACATTCCGATATCCAGGGTTTTGGTACAGGTAATTCAATATAATCTTTCACTAAAATGAGCTGGTACTACCAAGCAACAGTCTTTTGTGACCTTCAATAATATCAAGGATCGTTTACATAAATTCCCACCATGTTTTCGTCACCTTCCAAGCATGCTAGGCTCATTCGCTGGATAATTCCAATTCCACAGTAATTTCCAACACATCTAGAACTGCAAGTCGAATCAAAATTCAGAGCGATATTCAGAATACGCCTTTCTTGAGTCTGACAATATGTAATACGGTTGTATAGTTAAACTTGATCTTTGTTGAAAAATTACTTTTGAAAGAATGATTGAAGCGGGTCCCCGCTTACGAACGGCAATAATATTAATCGCAAGACAACGTTTCTTTATACCTGTACATGGAAATAACCACAAGTTACTTGTAAGACTGTCATTTATGCATAGCATGCTGCAGTTCCCACCTACACGTCGTGATGATGCTAGCTGAGGACCTCACGTATTCACACTACCGGCAAAGAGAACTCTTCGGTGCACATTCTCTGGGATAATACACTCAGATGAGGTAGGCCTTCAGGCCCCTAGGGTTTCTCGGTTGCCGCAACATCTATTATTCTTTCTGTCCCACGCGTTATACCAGAAATGGTTCTAAAATAGTACAGGATCCCAATACGGGATTTTGGGGATATACATATATGAGTGCGACAGATTAAGATAAGGACGAATACCTTTGCACGCTATTTAGTACTTCCATCATGTATAAGTCGTTTATATAACGGAGGGTGGGGTACGGCAAGGGCAGCCGATCGGGATACTAAAAAGAATTCGATAGTTAGAAATAATACTCGTGGGTGCAGATTAAGATAAGTTGGGTAAATTACATGCTGAAAAGTGTGTATTTCAATAATCTGACGATTTGGAGTCGGAAGGTCACAAATATGCAAAAAAACTTTATAACGAATGAAGAGTATGACTGTCTGAATAACTAATAATAATGCATTTGGCGTTTTCTCGAAAAAATAGGCATTTCTAGTTTTGATGCCTGAATTACACCACCAGCTGTCACTTTGAGAAGCTAAAAATAATTTCCAGCAATTTCTCTTGGCGACTTTTATTACAAAATTTCCCAACCGATAGCTCTAGGTTGACTGGTTGCCGAGATACAGCCTTTATTAGTGGCCCACCAGCTACCTACAAACCGGCAGGCTATCATACCACCAATATCAGTGATATGTAAAAGGACCTTATAAATACAGGGTGTTCCTTAATGATATGCAAATATTTAAGGGTGTGAATCTACATGAAAAATTAATGTTAGTTTGCTTTATAAACTATGGTCCAAAAAATTTCCTTACAAAAACTCGGGGAGTTGAAGTTTTAGGAAAAAAATGGAAATTAATCAATATATTCAGAACCGCTTCGGATATTTCACTGATATTTAGTACGTAGTGAAAGTTAATGAAGTTGCATATTTTTCAATGCAAAAATAACTGTTAGCTTTACCAGTGACGTGCGTACGGGTATTGAATTCGATATTTTATAAGAAAAAAATGGTTCGCCAATAATTGTTTGCCAAATATAAATTATTTTTGAATTCCCCGTTCAATCTAAAGCAAATGATCTCTCTTGAATTGTTTTCTTTCGATGCACCATTTTTGAGTAAAAAAATAAAAACCGTTCTATTGTCTAACTTGCAAGATTATTATTAATTTAATTGGAAAAATTAAACACATTAGGGGTAACAACAACAACTGACATCATAAATATAACACTAAAACCAACGAAATGATTACAATAAATGTTGAAAAATGGGCCACTTCACTTAGTATGCTTGCTTCCTCGCTCCTTCTCGTGGAATTGCGCACTCGTTGAAATATCCCTGGAGTGTTTTTTATTCTATCAGAAGCTGCAACTATGCTTTCTCTTAGTTCCGCTACAGTGTTAAGGGTACTTGTGTACACTAGTGTAAAGATAGCCCACAAAAAGAAATCTAAACTGGTGAGGTCTGGGGACCTTGGTGGCCATTCTTGGGGCCCACCGCAGTCAATCCAACGATTTGGATAAAAAGTTTGTAAATAATTACGAACCGCTACAATGAAATGCGCTGGTTCACCATCATGCATGTACCACATATTGTTTCTTATTACTAACGGATCATCATTAAGCAGCAAAGGCAACTGTTGTTGAAGAAAATTGAGGTAAGTCTGTACGTCAAGTCGTCCCGGCAAGAAGAATGGGCCAATAAAGTGGTTGCCAATAATTCCTGGCCATACGTTAACCGAAAATTGGTCTTGTAAATGGGTTTCGGTTACGGCATAGGGATTTTCTTCTGCCCTTAAATGATTATCGTGAAAATTCTGAATGGCATTTCGAGAAAAATTAGCTTCGTCCATGAACAGAATCATTGATTCAAATTGCGGCTTTTGTGTAATTTTTTGCAGATACCACTGACAAAAGGTCACACGCCTTGGAAAATCAATGGGAAGTAATTCCTGTACTCTTAAAGTATGGTGAGGATATAACAAAAAATCCACTAAAATTCTCCGAACAATTTGATGGCAAACATTTAAGTGTCTAGCGATCTTCCTCGTACTCGTTTCAGGATGTTCTTCGACTTCGTGCAGAACTGCTTCCTCAATTTCAGGTATTCTGACACTTAGAGGTCTACCTTCAGATGTTCCTTTTCGGACAGAACCAGTTTCAATAAGACGACGATGAATATTAGAAAAGGTTCGACTATCTGGCAAAGCACGATCCGGATATCTCTGGTGATAAATCCGTCTGGCTTGCTCACCATTACCGTCGGCAAGGCCATATACGTAATGCATTTCCGCCATTTCTGCATTTGAATAATTCTCCATTATTAACAAGATTGTAAAAACTAAATAATGAAAAAGATGTCACAGCGAACAGGTTTGAATAACAGGGACTTGTCAGATGTCAAAAGCCAGTGACATATTCCAGAGCAACTAGATATTGGCTCATCGAAGGAAAACAATTCAAAGAAAATCATTTGTTTTCAATAGAACGAGGAATTCAAAAATAATTTTTATTTGGACAAAAACCATTGGTGTACCATTTTGTTCTTAAAACATCAATACCCGTCAATATCCGTACGCACGCCACTGTTAAAGCTAAAAATTATTTCTGCTTTCGAAAATATACTACGTATCAAATATTAGTGAAATGTCTGAAGCGGTTCTGAAAATATTAATTAATTTCCATTTTTTTCCTAAAACTTCAACACCCCGAGTTTTTGTAAGGAAACATTTTTGGACCATAGTTTATAAAGCTAACTAACATTAATTTTTCATGTAGATTCACACCCTTAAATATTCGCATATCATTAAGGAACACCCTGTATATAACTTTTTTTTCTGAGATCTAGTCTTCAAAACCCAATAGGTCCCTGTAAATAAGTAATTATTAGTAATATTTGTTCGCATGAACGCAAAGCGATACAAGTTTTGAATTTAGTAGAAATCATTAAAGGATGTGCCAAAAATGTCCTATTACATATCTCTCGTGATGCTGGCAATTTAGCTTAAAATAGTATTTGTCTTCTACATTAGACTTACAGAGGTTTTTTTTTGCATTTTCTTGTAGGTTTTTCAAGTTCACTGACCTTTGATGTATCAAATTTCTGAGCTCTAGTAATCCTTAAAAGTATAAAAGTTGATCAAGAGCCTGTGATGATACAATGCTGCAGCATTTTAAAATGAAATATGACTGGTCTAAGAAACAGTCAAAATGGCAATCTTGATGAAATTCTGCCTGGATCTATTATCAAGGGTACGAAGAGGTAAAGTGATATCAAACGAAGTACCCAGAGGGAAAACTTGGTGTAAATGACAAATTTCTGCTTATGTTTTTTTTAAATTGCTCTTAAAATGTCGAACTATCATGTTCTCATGTTTAACGATCCTACAACTCCAAACGCCTACCCACTATAACAAAACTGAAAGCGTAGTTGTGTATATCGCTAGAATTATCTGGAATAGGACAATGCATCAATCAGTTTTATTTGTAGTATTTGCTTGATAAAGACAATTTTTCAACGTTACAAATATTTAAAGTAGGCTGTGAACTCGGACTCATCACAAGAGCAAAATGCAATGAATGTTTGTTTAACTTATGATAGCGCACATACGATGTGTCCAATTCTGTACCGAGTGGGCCAATAATAAAGGATGCCAGAGTTATTGGTTAAACATTTTAGGATAAAAGTGGCCAAGAAAAGAGGCTGGAAAGTATTTTTAGCTTTCTAAAATGGCCGTTCCTCCAATTTCAAAAATTCATGCTTATGAAATAGGATCATCGTGTTCACCGCTCAATTTCCAAACTTTCTTGTTTATGTCTTTTTTTATATTTTGGTTAGTTTAGGGTATTGGTAGCGTTTCAGAAAAAGTCACATAACTTCTGTTTGGCCGCACCGAACTTGATGATCTTGGTTTCGTTTGAAAGAAATAGCAGATCAATATCTTTATTTGTTATGGAGACATATTAAGTCTTGAATTACAATTTCCAAGAGCTACTGGATAAGAAGAAGGATTTATGGTACGAATAGTTAAGTGAAATCTACCAAAATGGATATTTTACTTTGACATTCATTTTTGCGCCTCTTCACATCCGCTATGGGCCTGATATATGAAAGAAATCATTCAGCAATTGGAGGCACAGGTGAATAAAGGTGTCATGTAACAAAATGATTGTAAGGCGAAAATTGACGTCATCAATGGGACAGATTGCCCTGTATAGTATGTAGTAACTTTTTGAATAGCAAATCCTACTTAAAAACATGGAGATATACTCTGGAGGTCAAAGTAATGATCCTCAGCGACCCTGATGATGAATGGACCCAGACAGAATGAGAGAACAGATATTACCTCTTCCTTCAGAACGAAATATTAATGCGGT